ACGGTATATATGTTTATAAATATATATTATATATATATATATATATATATATATTATATATATATATGTGTGTGTGTGTGTGTGTGTGTGTGTGTGTGTTGTGTGTGTGGTGTGTGGTGTGTGTGTGTGTGTGTGTGTGTGTGTGTGTGTGTGTGTGTGTGTGTGGAGAGAGAACAGAGAGAGAGTGTGTGTGTGTGTTGTGTGTGTGTGTGTGTTAATATATATATATATAATATATATATATATATATATATATATATATATATATATAATATATATACATATATATATACACATATATATAATATATATATATATATATACATATATATATATATATACATATATATATATATATATATATATATATATATATATATTATATATATATATATTGTGTGTGTATGTGTGTGTGTTGTGTGTGTGTTGTGTGTGTGTGTGTTGTGTATGTGTATGTGTATGTGTGTGTGTGTGTGTGTGTGTGTGTGTGTGTGTGTGTGTGTGTGTGTGTGTGTGTGTGTGTGTTGGTGTATCTGGTGTGTATATGTATGTATGTATGTATGCATGTATTATTAATATATATATATTATATATATTATATATATTATATATATATATTATGTTGCTGCATATGCGAGTGCGTATAAATGCATTCTCCATTCCGCGCCTGACCGTCTCCTCCCGCAGCCAACCGCTACACGCCGGAGCCGACCGCGCGCTCCAAGAGCCGCCGTTCGCACCGTCCCAAGTTCTACTACATTCCCCATGACCGAATCGTGGAGGAGGGCGAAACCGTCACATTCCAGTGTGCCATCAAGGGTACGTGGTCAGGCTTGTTTGGCTCGCCTTTCCTTTATGAACCTATCGTATTCAGTGTGTGACTTACGGATGGGAATTTAACTCTTGAGACACGTTTTTTCCCTTCTGAATGGAGCCGCGCTTCCTTCCTCTTCTCACTGGGTCTCTCGACAGGCCACCCGACCCCGCGGTCGACATGGGACAAGGACTCCCTCAAGCTACTCGAGGGCGGCCGCTACAAGATGGAGGAGCGAGACGACGTCCGCACTCTAGAGATCTCCAAGGTGACGATGCAGGACGCAGGACTCTACAGAATCACCATCGATAACGACCTCGGTCGCGAGCAAGCCACTGCCAGGCTCGACGTAATCAGTAAGTTGGAATTTAGCATTATTCCCGAAGGCTTTCTGCCATCATCTTGCCTGGAATCTGGCACACCTGTTATGGTGATTCAGTGCTTCGCAACACTAAGTGCAAGCATTTTGCCAAGCGCCTAATTACACCGGAGTAATCCTGCGTCCTTCTCGTGCAGAGGCATCGGGTAACAAGTACAGTGGCTACGTGAGGTCATGGCACACGTCTCCGCTGACGGTCCCGCGCTTCATTCGCTCGATGCCGTCCACCAGGGTGAGCCAAGGCAGCAGGCTGTCCCTCTCCGCTGACTACAGGGGCTCGCCAACGCCTAGAGCGAAGTGGTACAGGTAAGTTGAAGGAAACAGTCTATTCATAATGATACAAATTTCCTTAAGGCAAAGCATTATTAGGAGTCAGTTCTAACCAAACACGAGAATTGCTACATTACTTGTCTCCTCTTGACAGAAATAACGAGCTGCTGCCCCTGTGCGACGACTTCCCTCAGAGCTACGACGGCAAGACCGCCACTCTGGACCTGCCGTCTGCCACCGCCGCCGACGCTGGCACCTACACGTGCGTCCTCGTCAACGACGCCGGCAGGGCCGAGTGCTCGTGTGAAGTAAGAGATATAGTATATTAATTCTCTGATGTCGATTTAATCATATTACAATCGGAATAGATTAAAAGATAATAATCGGGAGTGATAGATAACAATAACATTTGGGGGTTTCGGATCTCAAGAGGCACATGCCAGTAAGATGAATCATTGGCATAAGCCGAAGTAAGGAAATGATGAGAAATTAAAATTCGTTTACATGACCGATATTCCATGCACTTTAACACGATCGTCCAAACAACCATAACGAGTTACAATTAAGAAATCATCAATGTTATTCACAAGTTTGACGTAACCAATTCCTCATTGAACTCTTAAGTACTCTTTGTAGTAATGGATTGTGCTATTACAATTATTATACAAAAAGGACTGAAAACATATATATATATGTATCACAAATTTAAGCTCGTGATTTGCTAATCACTTGTCCAGTAGTTTACGATACGCCTTGGCCGCCACTTGTTTGCCCAGCTTAGTGGGTGCGTCGTCACTTCAGGCGTAACCAGGCTGGGACAAGGTTGGCTTTCACAGAACTCTCGCTTCACCTAATTTTTTAGCAGTTCTCTTCATTTTCATCTCCCTTTCTCTCTTCTCCTCTCTTCCTCATATCTCTCCTCACCCCTCCCTCTTCTCTCCTCTCTCCTCTATCCTATCCCTTCTCTCCCCCCCTCTCCCCTCTCCTGTCTTCTCTTATCTTCTCTCTTCTCTTCTCGTCTCCTCTCTGCTCCTCTCTTCTCTCTCTTCTCACTCTTCTCTCTCTTCTCTCTCTTCTCTCTCTTCTCTCTCCTCTCTCTCTCTCTTCCTCTCTCTTTCCCTCTCTTTCCCTCTCCCATTCCTTCTGTTCCCTCCTTCCTCCCACCCTCATACTTTCTCCACATTACCTTGCTCTCTCTCCATCGTGTCTCCCCCACCTTCCCTCATTGAAACGAAAGTACTTTCATGGTGATTTGTGTCCCGCAGGTGGTGGTGGAGCACCGCAAGGAGACCCCCAACCAGCCGCCCTATTTCCTCCGCGGTCTGAAGGACTTCACGGCGCTTGACGGTGATGAAGTGAGACTCTCCGTCAAACTCGCAGGTTTGTTCTTCTCTTATGTTGGGGAATAGAAATGGTGGTATTGCATAGATAATAAGAACAGTTATTGAAATAATCTCATAGGTAACTATCGAACGATTAGTATTACGAGTCCGTAGGTACGGAAGTTGAAGGTTTCGCTCGGCCTGGCAGTGAATCTTGGTCTTTTTCCCGTAGGATCCCAGCCCATTCGGGTTTTGTGGGTTCGCAACGACCAGGAAATAAAGAATTCCGAGGACTTCACGTACCTGGAAGAGGAGGAGGGCGAATACGCTCTCGTCATCCGCGACATCTTCCCAGAGGATGCCGGAATCTACATCTGCGAGGCTTACAACGCACACGGGGACACCCACACTCACTGCAGATTAGCTGTTCATGGTACGTTAAGCTTTGATTGTGTGCATTACTGCCATGCATTGTGCGTCCAAATTATTATTAGGGATCTTGAAGTTGTTTATTTTTATCACGCAGTGGATTTGATAAGCTTATCATACTTGTCATGATAAAGGTTTATCATCTGATGGGTATATCTAGCTGATAAAATAAGCAGGGTGAATACAAGGTTTACTTGAGGGTTCATGTTTCTTCGAAAATAATGTTGCCAATATCTTGAATTCTGTTTATAAATCTGCTGCCTACCCTCCCCCAGATCCACGAGAATCAGAGGCATCGGTGCCACGGATAGTCGGTAATCTAAAGCCTTTGGACGTGGAGGAGGGCTCGGCTGCCAGGTTCAGCGTCACCGTTCACGGGACACCCCGGCCGACCCTCACCTGGTACTGCGACAGCCGCAAGTTGATCTCCACACCTCGAATCAAGGTATGTTGCAGTCCACGCTTGCCTGCGTGCTTGTGTTCTTGAAAAAATGTGATGCTTTTGTAGGTTTCCTTTATTAGTAAAATTAAAACGCGAGTTTCTCAATCAGATCAACATGGACGACGATGTGGGTGCGGACGGTGAGGTGCAACACACCCTAAGCATCCTCCACGCGCTGTCCACCGACTCGGGCGTTATCTCCGTCGTCGCCTCCAACTGCCTCGGCTCCGACACCGCCTCTACCACACTCAAGGTGCTTGTCCGTCCACTCCCGTCTTTCTTGGATCACACCTGAGACAAAGACGTGGTTTTATGAGAGTGAATGTACATAATTTAAATCGAGTAACGCACGGGGTTGGCTTCCCATAGCAAGTCTTTAAATTAAAGACCCTATCACACTAGCACTTTTACTTCAGTTTTTGTATTTCGTCCGAATTTAAGGCTTTACGCGAGTTTCGCAAGCAAACAGAACGCCTCCCAGGCCGAGACGGACGCGACCGTTACCGTCTAGATCTTGCTACGGAGGATGTATACAAATGAAATGTTTTTTTATTGATGAATTAAATAGAATAAGTTGATTTAAACCGCAGTAAATATTCCAGAATACATTTTACATAATTATATTTCTTTAAAATAACATGTATAAGAATGCCCGTCTGATTCCCGGGACCTCACTCAGACGGCGCCATGTTTGTTTAAATGGGCACTATCTTGCGCCCTTGGTAGTGTGATAGGGTCAGTCAGTTTGTATACGGAAAGTTCCTAGGGAAACGAAAATAGTGCCAGTATGATAGGGCCTGTACCGTTTCCTTCGCCAGGTTGATCCCTACACACCGAGGCGCGAAGAGCGGGTACGATCGCCCCTCGGCACGAACTCCTCGGCCAACACCACCGCCAGGTTGTCGCCGCCGCGAACCTCCAACTCCCCCGCGCCCAGGATCAGACCCTCGCTCAAGGAGGTCAGTGATGGCTCTTAATGTTCTTGCACTTTGGTCATGCACATTGGTTTGCTATTTTTCACGTCATGTAGCTCAACTAGTATGATAATACAGATGTAAATATATGTATACATATGTTTTGTATGCGTAGTCTTCTTAAGATACAACGAAAGTAGTACGAATTAATGCTTTTTAGTTATCGCTCGTTGGTAGATTGTTTATTCTGTAAATTCTGTATTTGTTTGGCCCCCTTGGATTTTGCTAAAATGTCATTATTACCCTTTAAATTACTTAAATGCTACAGGTAATATTGGAAAGATAACAGTATTTACCCATGCAGGTCACCAACACTGGCACGGGAAGCGTGGACTCGGCCTACGGCAGCGTCAGCATCCGGGATTCTGCCAGCAGCCCCTCTCCAACCTCAGTGAATTGGAGGACGACCAGGTGGAGGCTGTTGATACCTGTAGTTCAAAATTTACACGTGGTGCTGTCGGCTGGACCGTTTCTTGCGCTACGGCACAACATTGCTGTATAATGGTTATTGTGTTATTTACATGAAGGGTGCATATAATGCATTTTTTTCCTCAGGGTGAACCAGCGAAGAAGCCCCTCCGCACCATGGCCAGCTGTGATGAAGAAAAGGAGGACGAACAGCAGTCCGACGAGAAGAAAGAGGAAGAATCAGAAGAAGAGGAGGCGGAGGAGGAGGAGGAGGAAGACACTGAAGCCGAGATCCTGCTTGGTCCCCTGGATATGACGGTCCTCAAAGGGCAGTCTGCAACCTTCACTGCAACATTCACCGGCAAGCCTCAGCCCGTAGTGTCTTGGCTCAAGAAGGTTAGCTATATGTTCAGTATACATTTCAAGTATACTTTTTCCTTAACCCATATATAGAAGAACGTTTTTAACATGAAATTGAAATAGTACTTATCACTAGTAATAAATATGTATGCATGTATGTATGTATGTATGTTTTTTTCCATTCCTTTTCCTAAATACGATGAAAGAATTTTTCTTTTCTCCAGGAGCAAGAGATCTGCGACGGCGGACGGTACACGGTGAAGACGGAGAACGGCACCACGACGCTCACCATCAAGGACATCGTCCAAGAGGACTGCGACAAGTACACCGTCGTCGTCAGGAATGCACTGGCCGCCCACGCCGCCTTTGCTTCCCTTGCTGTAGGAAGTATGTATATGGGCGACCTTACCGCTACACTGCAGTTTTTTTCTCTCCTGTGCCGTCTTTCCCCTTTGCTCACCGCTCTCTCTTCTCTCTTCTTTCCTCTCTCCTGTGTCGTCTTTCCCCTTTCCTCACCTCTCTCTCTTCTCTCTCTCTTTCCTCTCTCCTGTGTCGTCTTTCCCCTTTCCTCACCCCTCTCTCTCTTTTCTATACTCTTCTCTTTTCTTTCTTTTTTCATCTTTCCTTTCTACTGTGTCCTCTATTATATTTTCCCTTTTCTCTTTTCTCTTCTTTTTTTCTTTTCTCTTCTTTTTTCTCTCTCTCTTCTTTTTCTCTTTCCTTCTTTCCTCTTTTCCTCTTTCCTCTTTCCTCTTCTCTTCTCACTTCTTCACATCTCTTTCCTCTCTCCACTCTCCTTTTTCTCTTTTCTCTTCTCTCCTCTCTTCTGTTCTCTCTTCTTTTTTCTTTTAAATTGTTAACATTTGGGAGAAATCTGTGGTTTTGGACTGAATAACCAGGAGGATGCGTAAACTAGTTGCCACAAAGACTGATCTGATTAAACATCCCGGAATTCCTAGCTATTCCCGGAGCCTGTGTGAGCGCCCCCTAAGTGCCCTTTGCGTTCCAGGTGCCCCCGAGCCGCCTGCGGATCGACCCAACCACTCGGAGGTGACGGCGACTTCCGTGACTCTGTCTTGGTACGGCCCCACCTACGACGGTGGCTCCGTGGTCACGGGGTACAACGTGGAGGCGCGCAAAGTGGGCCAGGACGAGTGGAAGACGCTCATCACGGGGTGAGTCGAGGATCAGTAACAATGGCGTGGTTGATTGTTGAAGTTTTGTTTTTGAATTTTCGTAATATTTATTTCTTTATTGCATTTGAAGCTTATCTTATAATCAGTGATTTTTTATTTACAAATTGCGTGTTAATTTTTCTAGATGCCATTCTACGTCATACATTGTGACGGGACTAGAGACCGGATGCCAGTACGAATTCCGCGTGTGTGCACAAAATATGCACGGCCTCTCCGAGCCTTCGAAGCCCTCGCAGCCCGTCACTACCACCAATCAGACCAAACAGGCAGAGGAGGAACCCGAGCCTGAAGGTAAGGCAGAGTCTGTGGCTTAGATTTTACGATACTTAATACGGTATAAAATACCTATTTATGGTATTCCTACGAAGACCTACAATCTTTGTCAGCACTGTAACATACCCTTGCTATTTCCAGACTATGAAAAGGCCTTCGCTCCCCTCAACGTCGAGATCGAGCCAGGGAACATGTTCGACGAGCAGTACACCCTGCACGAGGAGGTCGGAAAGGGCCGCTTTGGCATCGTCTACAGGGTCACGGAGAAGACCTCAGGCACCAGGAGGGCTGCCAAGATCATCAAGTGTATCAAGGCTAAGGACAAGGAAAAGGTAGATAGAGAGAGCATATCATACTTGCATTGTATTATGTGTATATATGTATTGTGAATGGCAACACAGCATTAATTCCCAAAGAACTGAAAAGCCATAAGGTGTTGTGACGTAAGCTGTACTTCACGCCCTCCTTTCCCGCAGGTCCGCGAGGAGATCTCCATCATGAACGCCCTCAGACACCCAAAGCTCCTCCAGCTCGGAGCAGCCTACGAGCGGCCGCGAGAGATCATCATGGTGATGGAATAGTAAGTGACAGGAGAAAAAAAAACAAGCTATCAGTAATTCTTCTCATCAGTAATTTAACTTGTATACTGAGGCAGTTTTATGCTTTAGAGGCTGGTGATGGTGAACTAAATGCATCGTGACCGAAAAATATCGTTGGTTATCACCACCATCCTGCCAGCTACTAAAGAGTTATCACCAACTTGTCAAGTATAAATCCGCCTCCATCAAATTGAGTTTAATGAATATGAAACGACTTTAAATAATTATGCATGCCAAAGGATAACGAGGAATGTGTTGATGCGTTTTGTACATTGGCTAATGAGGATCTTTTGCAGTATATCTGGCGGCGAGTTGTTCGAGCGTGTGGTGGCTGACGACTTCAACCTGACAGAGCGTGACTGCATCCTCTTCGTCAGGCAAATCTGCGAGGGAGTCCAATACATGCACAGCACCAACATTGTACATCTTGACCTCAAGGTAAAATATGGTCCTTCACAACTAATGCATTTCATTGTACCTCTTCATATGTTGTTCTGTATGCGGCTCTGTAAACAGTGGGAGAAAAGTCGACTAACAACACCCTTCTTTTCAGCCCGAGAATATCCTGTGCGTGCGTCGTACGTCCCATCAGATCAAGCTGATCGATTTCGGCTTAGCGCGGAGATTTAACCCCGATGACCCCTGCCGAGTGCTGTTCGGAACACCCGAATTCATCGCTCCCGAGGTCATAAACTACGAGCCAATCGGCTTCGCTTCGGATATGTGGTCCGTCGGGGTTATCTGCTATGTTCTGTAAGTCGACTCTGAGTATTCACTTGTGTTACATAAACAGGAATATGCAAGCTGAACACAATTGATATGAGGAATTTACACTGAAAGGAATAATGAATGGACACGCAAATAATATTGATGATAGGTATGATTAATGTTACTCTGCCAACTGCTGTGGCGTTCGAGATGAATATTATTTTGTATGTCACATTTATTCACTTCTCACGCAGGCTGTCTGGGCTGTCGCCTTTCATGGGCGACAACGACGCCGAGACTTTCAGCAACATCACCCGCGCCGAGTTCGACTTTGACGACGACGCCTTCGACGCCATCACTGACGACGCCAAAGATTTTATCCAGTCCTTGCTTGTCAAACGAAAAGAGTGAGTGGCATTGAAAAGGGTGCAATTAAAAAAAAAGTTTTGGGAAATGGTTCCAGATGCAAACTGCATGTGTGGTTCATTTGGCAGCATTAAAATTATTTCTTTTAAATACAAGTATGAAATATATGATATGTAAAGCTCCTTCTTTTTAATCGAAGTTTAGTACACGGGTCTCGTCTGATTCCATTTAAACGTTTCAGAAAGCGACTCACGCCCGCACAATGTCTGGAGCACCGTTGGCTGAACCAGACTGAAGGTACCATGAACAAGGTCGTCCTCTCCACAGACAAACTGAAGAAGTTCATCATTAGGCGAAAGTGGCAGGTATGTGATAGGGTTGATTTTGAGTCTTGTATTCATTATATTCTTATGGTATTGACATAGCTATTCATGAGGATTTATTTTACTTGAAAATATACTCGTATCATTTTTTTATTAAGATTAGTCTAATGCATGTACAAGATTTTTTATAGAGAGAAACCTTTTGTAATCTCCATTAGTGTTTGGTACTAATGTGTTCACTAATTGAATTATTTGTAACTTGAGTTTTTGTTTGTAAATTAATTAGTTTGGGTTTGATTTGTAGTCCCCGAGTTTTTTTTTATAAATACTACGTTGGTTTTGATTCATAGTTTCTAAGTTTGTGACCAGTAAATATAAATAGCATACCACCCATAAGTCACGCCCTAATCCGTTGGTAGTGTGTGCCCTTAACTGCATGGTTTGTCCGTTTGTTTCCTAAAAATCCAGAAAACTGGAAATGCTATCCGCGCTCTGGGACGAATGGCCAACTTGACCAGCCGTCGCAGTTCTCAACCTTCTTCACCCACGAGACTCTCCCCCCTCCCGGAGAACCACACCCACACGCCCACCACCCCCTCCAGCCCCTCCCCCGTGTCCTCGCCCGCCGCCCTCGTTAAGACCAAGGGCTGCGCCCCCGTCACCCGCTCCTCGCCAAGCATCATCAGCGAGAGAAGCGATTCCGGTATTAGTGAATGTTCGTTTGGTGTTGAAGAAAATAACCCCAACCAAGTTAACAACCAGTGTGGCCTCACTAACGGTCGTGCTGTTACAGGGCGCACTGTTATCAAAAGTGGAAAGACACCTTCTCTAGACTGGCAGTCGTCGGTTGACTCTGCTGTCTGCGACGACGACTTTATCGGCAAGAGCGGCGACTTCGGGTCTTCGCAGAGAAGAATCTCACGGGAGGCGCTGCTGCATGCCAAGACCGACGCACTAATGAACGCTCACTCCAGAATATAGAAATATATATAAAAGAAAATAGACTCGTAGTATATAATGCTTAACTAAAGTTTTATTGTAACGTAAATATACATACATGTATACTGTGTACATACAAGAGAAGAAAGGACGTTGGAGTGTAGTTACTAGCTGATTATTTGCCTTTTTAATAAGTAT